TCTCATGGTAATTTATAATGGCAATAGTTGGGGGGGAAAGGTGTTGGTGTTGGACGATGCCGTGGTGAATTTTCATTTCCCTCAATTTTGCGCTCAGTAGAGAGAAGGATATACAGAAGCATTCCTTTGAGAACGTAGCACAGCACAAAATGAGAAACATGAGGATCCAGAGTGAATGAGAATACTACTCCTGTTTTTGTCGTTTGAGAGTGCAGGCAAGTGAAAGTGGAGTTTCGAGATATAAAATGAAAGAGACAACGTGTGCATAGAAAATGTACACGAAATTGTATTTTCCCTATTGGGAATTTTCGGACAATACTTCGGGGAGAGGCATGATAATATAACAATACAATAGTATCGCCTTGTTCCAGGTGGCTTCACCTAGTAACTCAATCGAAAATGAATTTACGCAAAAAGATCATCCCAACACTGCGAAATCTAATGTCTAAATTTCAGACGTTTTGAAGATTCAGACGTTTTTTACCATCTGACATCTTAAATTCAGATAGCTGTCAGACACCTGATTTTTGTAGTCAATGAATCATCAAATATCTAATGCCGAGTGGTTTAAAAAAAAAATTCTACTGGATTGTTGGTCGCTCGCTCCCATTGCGGGTGGGTTGGAGTGGGTGTGACCGGTTACGAGTCGAACCAATAACTTCCCGACCAACTGCCTTTCCTTCATTCATTAGAATTAGATTTTTCTATACAACTTATTCTATTGAGATATTTTCCATTGGATTTCTTCAGCTGAAAAACTTACAATAACTTCCTACTTCGGGTTGGGAAGTTAATAAGACAAATGAAAAATATTCCTAACATAATACTCTCCACATTGGCTGAACATCCTTAACTTGTTTGAAGAGAGGAGGAAAAATGAAAAGAGCATGTGTGTTATTTATTTATAATCTATTTTGAGTAATAGATCGAAAATTAAATCTGTAATATAAAAAATTGGCGCATCATTGTTCTTGATTATTTTCACAGAAGAAAAGTGATGAATCAAATTCCCCCCCCCCCCCTCTGTCTCTCTTCTCCTCTCTTTATTACAGAAGAATAGCCATTTCTTGGACGCGCAGTCAGGCGAGGTGGATGTCCGGTACTCCGACAACTCAAGGGAACAACAATACTGAAGAACATAACAATCAACCATGAAGATAAGAAAGCGGTAAAATGCAGGGAAAGAATAAGAAGGATCGTTACATGGGAGAAACGACGGACTGAAACTGAGGTTCGGTACAAACGAAACAAGAAATTTTAGCGTCTGGCCTCAGTCAATTTATTTTTTCATCGAGTAATCAGCACAAGAAGAGAAGCAAGTTCCGTTTGCTATCCTTTATTTACCATGGAAGAAACGTAAAAACCGTACCATCCAAACTATCGTGACCCACGAGAAGCTGTTACCGGTCTCTTAATGGGTGCATTTCTCAACAGCAATTCATTTCCAACAGAGAATATTGTTGAAGTGTTTTCCTTCAAACTATTCTTAACAAACATTCATGGAAATTGAAAATCACATGAAACATGAGGCGTGTCCCTCCCCTCGCGATTGTTTACACTTTGCAGACAATTATGAAATTAATGAAGAGTGATGCAAAAAAAAATTTATTCAGTTATCGTTAATTATTGTTAAAATTTATTGGTGCAAAAATCTATACATTTTTTCAAGGTTTCCATGGATATTGACGATCTAAAAAAAAATCAATCATATCCTAACTGTAAAAAAAATGAGAGAAAATTTGCTGAGAGAGAAAGTTTAAAAATTGAAACAGAAGAGGCAGCGAGAAAGGAACACATACCCAAGGGCTGCTTTTCTTTACCCACTACAGTGTGCACACGGAGTGAAGTTTATTGCGGTGTAGTGCCTTAACGCCGAGGTCCTCGCACTTCCCCGTACCGGCCTTCCTCCACTCTCAGAGGGAAAGGTAGAGAGGGGCGAGAGGGATCGTTGCTTAGCCTTCCATCTACCTTATTTTCCTTCAATGTATTTACGCCTGCGTCTCCAGGGCTTTCCCTACTACACACTCGCACATGCAACAACTCTTTTTGTTTTTCATTTTCTACAGTCCCCCCCCCCCCCCCCCCCC